TTCTCCTATAGACTTGAAGCTGTTGTTGTTGTTATTAGGCGCTGTCAAGTCAAAATGACTCTTAGCAACCCTATGAACAAAAGATCTGAACTCTGGTCTATCCTGCGCTATCTTCACACTTCTTGACACACATGAGCCCACCCTAATCAGGTATCACCTCACAAACATAATAAAAGAAAATCCATTTCCATATAGGGCCATATTCACAGGCACAGAAGTAAAACACCACAAAAATTTTTTGGGGAGACACATTTCCCCCCCTCAAACCCTTATTCACTGTTGGTGGGAGTTAAAATAGATTGTATACCAGTGTTGGAACTTTTTTTTAGTTTTCAAAGAGAAGAGCAAACTGGAGCAGAGGCAGGGAGAAAAATGCAACAATGAATGAATGGAAATCTAAAATCTCTGTACATGTTCATTAAAATTAATAAAATAAATTTTAAAAAATCATTGTCCAACTAAAAAAAAAACTAAGAAAACTATTGCTCAGAGGATGCATCAGTTTGCTAGAAATACTTGACACAGCGTAGATTTGTTCTATCACAGCTTTGAAAGCTACATGTCCAGAATTGAGGTGTTGACTCTAAATCCTTCTTTGCCTCTTCCTAACGTTTTCTGTTACTTGACACTTCTTGCTTTGTAGACGCATCACTTGAGTTTTTGCCTACATCTTCACATGACATTTGCACTCCATAAGTGACTGTTCAATTGTTTGCTATCTAAAAAAAGAAATATGTGTGTTATTATCATAGGAATAATCTCCCTAGCTTGATCCCAGGAGAACAGCATGAAATGGTCTAGGTGGCACAGTGAGATTAGAGGAAACTTAGGGGAGCCTGGCACAACAGAAGCTTGAGGAGAAACACTAGTTCAAAGTCCAGATCATGAATAGTATTAAGTTAAATGATACGTATTCCATTCAGAAGGAAGCACATACACAGAACTCTGGAAGTGAGAAGGATGTGTGGTTCATCCATGTAATTGTCTTCTCTAACATTTCCCTGTTCTTCTTTGAGTCGATAAAGATGAGGCAGTAGAAGTGGATCCATTTCCTGGAGGACCTGGTCTTCTCTTGTATGCAGACAAATGAAAAGGAGGACTTGGATCTCTTGAAATCCAATTTTCTGCTTGTTTACAAATGATTAACTACCACAATCAATTGTGTCAAAGTGCAGGTCAAATGTATCCTGTGGGAGGATGGTGAGATAGAACCTTGTGCTTGGGCTAATGACAGTGGGAATGGAAACAGGATAACCTGATGGAAGAGCTTGTGTTCTGTGTTTTGGACTCAATTAATGTGAGAAACAACTATCCCCTTTGGCCTTTCTATCAGAACTTGCATTTCCAATCCTCAGGCCAGTTACTCTGGCAGAGACAGCAGCGTTTCTAACAATATTCATACTTTTGTTAGGAAAGAATTCTGAGTTTTGTATTTTACATATTCAAACCTCAAAACAGCCTTATGAAGTGTGTATAAATTAATTATTGTACCAATTTTGAAATATTGGATTTTAGTATTGCTAATTTGAGGAAACTAATTTTCCATTCAACTGTTCATTTATATTTTGTTTTATGATAGTAACTAAAATACTCACAATATAACCACACTCCTCCCACTTCTCTGTGATTCTCATTTCCATGAGCCCTTCTATCCTACTTCTTGCTTCTTAGCTCTAACTCAGGAAACTCTCCTTCTGATCATATGTGTTTGATTATTCTAAGGAGTGTGGGCTTCCCTGGTGATGCTGTTCATCTTGTAAACCTGTCTTTGTCTTTTTTCTCCCCCCTAAAAGTCAAACCACAAAGGTACATACATTTTGTCTCAGGTTTGAAGACTAGCTAAGGTGATTGTCTTGAGGGTTCCAGCAGTCTCTGTCATAACTGTAAGCCTGACCTTTAAAAAAGATTTTTGTTTTAGACCACATTTCTCCCAACTCTTTCTGAGAAATTTCTCTATGGTCCTTTCTGGAATGATTAACAATGATAGTAGGGCACCATCTTGTTCTTCTGGTGTCAGGGTGATGGAGGTTGGAGTTCATGGAATCCTTTGGTTCTTTGAATTCATTGTCTCTGTGCATCTTTGTCTTTGGCCCCTCTTTTTTTTTTTTTTTTACAGGAAGATCCCAATAGTTGTACCTTAAATGCATACTCACAAGCTTTTAATACTACTTGCCAAAGTAGAATGTATAATATTGTCTTTGTCCAGAAATTATATGACAACAGTCCAGAATAAGAAGTACATTGAAAAGTGGACTGGGGAAGAGAAAGAAGAGGGGGAAGGAAGGCAGGGAAAGGAAGGAAATAGTACAATAATGAATGGGTGAAAATCCAACTTTTCTGTAAACTCTCATTAAAATCACAATTAAAATAAAATGATAAGGAAAGAGATTGTTCATTTTCTCCCATTGAGCAGCTGGTGGATTTGAACTGCCTGCCTTTGAGTTTGCAGTGCAGGCCCTTACCACTAGGCCACCAAAGCTCACTTAATTTCATCAGGAGTGTAATTTATGGGGCGGGGGGAGGATCAGCTGATTATACAAAGCATAACTTTGGGGGAGGTGGGAATCTTCAACATAAAAAAAAAAAGTTCACCATAGGTGACCCTCCTGGTATTCACAGCACCAATGGCAAGACTTCCAGCATATTAGTAATATGCAAACCACCATAGTATCACAGATGGATGGTGGTTACAGAAATTATGTAACTTACTTGAGGAAATGAAATCTAGACTGTATCCTTCCTATTTCCTCATCTTGAAATTACCTGCTGTGTAAAGGGTGTAGGTAAGTAGTCTGAGAGGGCCAAGGCAGCAGGAGATAACTTTAAAAGCCTTTGCCATTTTCATTTGGCTTAGCATTTTCATAACTCCTTTTATAACACAATCCTGTACTTCTTAGATAGGGAGAGGCTGGTCACCTCCCTGTTAGCAACTGGGGCTGATAATACCATATACGCTACCTGGAAATGACGGTATGACAATGTTCATCTCACTTGTGATCATGGACAACCTAGTAATCATTTCTAGACATACAGAGATGGTTGTTTGCTTGGATCATGCCATTTCACCAGTGAAGCACTATAAAGTCTATAGGGTTAAATACATAGAAAAAGAAGAGGACAGCAGTGAGGTCTTCTAGAGTCAAAGAAGATGAGTTTGACTCATCATGGATGACAACTGCCTTTGCTGCCTTTGACCTTGAGGAAAGATAAGGAGTCTCTGACCTTGTAGGTGACAGAAATGATGGGAACTGGCGATGAGGTAAAAGCATTTACCAGACTTCTTTCAGTAGCTATATGAACTGTGGTCAGTTCCTTTTGGGATGTTAGCAAAGATTAGAGGTACAAGAGGTCCACATGATAACCCTACATACAGCAATGGTCTACCATACTTCACCGTCCAACTAAGTCAGGGAAGATTATACATGTTTCACTAGCAGGAGTGGCATCCACTTCCTAAACAACATGTCTCTGGAAACACTATGAGCTTTGATAAATTACAATAATTCTAGAAAGGCTTCAGGCCTTTTGTTCATAGGGTCATTATGAGTCGTGCTTAACTTAATGGCCATCAACAACAACAACATAATGAATGTCTGCATAGATTATATAAAAAACATTGTGCATCTTTGAGTAATTAGGATAAAAAAGTGTTAGGGAAAGATTGTTCACATTTAGTAACTTATGAAACTCTCAAATCTGAGCAATAGGTAGGCAGACTCTCCAAATTTTGCACATAAGGAAATAATTAGAGACAGTCAATGAAAATATCTTTCAAAAAGAGCAGGGGGACACTCGTGATCCAGCAGCGTGATTCTTACCTTCCGTGCAGGAGGCTCAGATTTCCTTTGCTGTCAGTGCACTACATGCACACCCAGTACCCCTCTGTATGCCTTTGCTAAGATGCTAAACAGCCTCCTGTGGAGCTTTTGGTCTAAGATGGACTAGGAAAGAGGGGCCTGGTGATCTACTTTTAAAATTAAGCTAATGAAAACCCCGTGGATAGATAGCAATTATCTGACCTACAGCTAGCTGATGATGAGAATGGCAGAGGACTGGACTGGGTTTTGTTTAGATCTTGCTGTACATGGGATGGTCATAAATCAGGATTCAATTTGATGGCTGATTGAAAAATACAATGAATAAAGGCCTGGTGGTCTACTCCCAAATCAACAAATGAAAATCCTGTGATGCACAACTAGCTGGTCTCCATTCAGTTATGAAGTTGGTACATTTCCCTCCCTTATGAATGTGTTCACCATGAACTGGGACTGCCTTGAAGGTGTTACAGGCGAGAAAACTGAGGTACAGAAGTGAAACAACTTGCCCAAATATCTCAGTCACAAAAGGACAAATACTGCATAGTGCCACTGTTGTAAATTGGACTGACATGGGGGTTGGGGGCATACTTAAGAGGGTATAAATAATGTAAAAGGCATTGAAACAGATGAGGGAGAGAACTGTTTACACAGAATATATGATTAGGTATTATTGTCATGATGAGAGTCCATATTGAAAGCTGCATAGTGGAGCGGCCTGGGGTGGTGGTGGTGGGAATTGTATAACAATGAAAGAATTTATTTATTTATTTATTTGCTTTTCAAAGAGAAAAGTAAACTAGGGAGGAGGGGTGGGCAGGGAGGAAAGTGTGCAACAATGAATGCATGGAAATAAACTTAAAAAAAAGACAGAAAAAGGATTTGAACCCTGGTAGTCAGAATCCAGAGCTCACAATACTTCTTATCTTCCTAGCCCATGTTTATCCTAAAGTGTATTATACTATGAAAAAAAGATCACATTGCTACAGTTTTCCATCGTTCTCACTGGTATCCAGAGTCATTCGTATGTCTTCCATCTGTGCAAAGTCTAGCATGCTTCCAGTCACTACTTTCTGTTTACTTTGCTGAAATATTTACTCTGAGGGAACAGAAGTGGACAGTCACACTCCGTGGCAGGCTGTTCGTGGGTTTGGGCCTTCGCTGTATCTACTGTCACAGAGGGAAATGAAGACACCCAGGACATGGGCTTGGATGAAACCAGCAGAGCTGTTCCTCCTCTGTGCTGTGCTGGTTTGTCTCAGTTTGAGTGGCTCCAGGTAAGAATGCTTTCAAATCCTTCCCTGATCAATAATGTGACAGGAAATATAATGCCACACAATACTGACCGTCTCTTTGTTGTGTGCCTATTGAATGAGAACATCTCTAAAAGCAATTTGCATGCATCTGATAAAATAATATCAACAATTCTCTTCAAATTATTGTGGAACCAAGCAGCTGACTTCAACAAAAGTTCCTCTAAGAAAGTGACATGTTTAAATGCATTTTGTCGGGCTGAGAAGAATAGAATATTTGTTCTGTATTCTGAGCAAAAGCCATGATGTGATTCTTTATGCAAAAGAAGGTTTGTTATGTATGCAAAATAAGATCCAATTCATATCAGTGATTTTAATAGATATGAATGACCCCCCCATATGATCTCATCAATCCAGATTTTTCAGTTCTTTCTCTTCTCACATACACTCCATAATTAGAGTGTATATCTCCATATGTCTCTAGCACTTAAATTCTGATTTATTTCATGGCATTAGTTTCCTAGGTATTCTGGAACAAAACACTATAAATTGGATGACTTTACACTCATGCTCTGGAGGCTAAAAAACCTCCCACCTCATTGTCACGGAGTCAGACCTGACTTATAGCTGACCCTCCAGGGATTTTCCGAGACTGTAAATCACATGGGAGATTTCTTATCATTTTCCAGAGGAACAGCTGGTAGGTTCAAATTGTCTGCCTTTGAGCTGGCGGTACAACTACTTGCCCACTGTGTCACCAGAGCCCTCCAGTCCAGAGGCTAGAAACCACATCAAGTGGCGACACGATGAAGGTTCTGAGGAGAAATCTGTTTCATACTTCTCTCTAGGCAGCTGGCGTTTTTAGCAATCCTTGGTCTTTCTTGACTTACAATTGCATTAGTCCAATGTCTGCCTCCATCTTCACATGGCTTTCTCCGTGCTCGGGTCTCTCTATGTTGCGTTCTCTTCTTCTAAGAACACCAGTCACTTGATGTGTTTGCCAATGATTGAGGGTGTTTTAGGCAGAGGGAGCAGCATTGGCAAAGACGTGGAAGTGTCAAAGAGCCAGAATTGTTCCAGGAACATCATATACACGTAAGATCATTTTAAGCACAAGTCAAGATGGAAGCGACAGAGATGAGGAAGAGTAGGAGTAAGCAGATCATGGGGAGTGATGAGAGTCACTATTGCACCAACTAGAGTTACGGGCAGTGCAAAGAGTTAACACATGCAGCCGCTAACCAAACAATTTGAGGTTTGAATCCACCCACACAGCTCCTGGGAAGAAGTACTTAGCTGCCCATGTAATAAAACCAGCCCTTGAAATCCTGGTGAGCCATAATTCTACTCTGATACACATAAGGATCTCCACAGGCCTGAGTCAGCGCTCCAGCTGGAACTTTATCCTGCAGGCAAGGAGGAACAATTTAAGGGTTTCGAGCAAAGGAGCAAAATGATCAGATTTACATTTTGGACGTCCAGGTGGGAATGGAGTGCAGGTAGGGAAACTTGTTTCCTCCTAGAAATAACGTCATTAACTCATTTTGTCATGAAGTAGAAGAGCAATCTTATGCTAGAAAAGAGTGAAGATTCACTAGTGTTGGTTAATCTCTGCGATTCAAATCCTCACCTGAATCCAGGTCTAGCTAGGGCTCTAGCCTCTCTCTACCTGTGACTTCCGTGGGGCAGATCTGAATATGGATATTCGTGAAATCTGTACGCAAAATGAAAGAATAGTTTTCAGTTCTAGACTAAATGATGCTGAGACTGCCTTCATACTAGCTAATGAAGATTTAGTTTTGATTCTGCTGCAATGAAGGCAGATGAAATAATTCTTACATCAAAATAAAAGCTATGGATGGCCACTCTGAACCAGGCACCTGGAAATATTAGCTCTAATTTTCACTGCTATTCAAGGTAAATGCCATGTTTTCTGGTTTTTCAAAGAGAGAACTGAGGTTTAGAGAAATAATGTCACAATGGAATTTACCTACTATGTGGCAGAATATAATTCAAAATGTGAATTTTATATACCAATGTTCATAGCAGTGTTATTCACCATCACAAGAACATGGGAAAAGCCCAGATGTCCAACCAAAATCAAATGGATTGAGAAATTATGGTACATTCACACAATGGAGTACCGTGCAGCATACAGGAGCAATGATTTTGTAAATTACTACCTAACTTGGGAGGGAATGGAGAGCATGATGTTGAGTGAACTAAGTTAATCCCATAAGGACAAGTACTGTATAAAACCATCATTATAGAATAACTAAGAGGATCCAAGAGGAGGGGAGGGTGGAAGCAGAGGAGTGAGGAAAGGCAAGAATGGGGTTAATCATAGGGCTGTACAATTTGATGGGTAGGGGAGGAGTAAAAGAAACGAGAAAGAGCCAATGTGAAAAATGATGTATTTGAACTTTGTCAATAATAAACCAGTATAAAATGTTAAAGAATATGGATTTTCCAGATACTAAAAATTCTTAGGATATGGATTCAAGTCCACTTTTTCTGGGTCCAAACCCCCACAATATGCCTCCTTCTGCCTTTTACAAATGCATTGCTCACTCTTACCTTCTTTGCATATCTGACTACTTGGTCTCCCATGCCTCTTCTCTATCCCTAGGCCACACATTTTGTTGCTTTGCAATGTTACTTTAAATTTCAAGTCTACAAGAGCAAACGACAGAAAGAAGAGAAATTGAAAACCTGCCACCCGGAAGCTTCCCCTTCTAGCAAAGAGGAAGGATGCTATTTGCAAAGGGGATGCAGCTGCCTAACAAATTGTGTGTGACAAGAAAGTTGTTGTGTCAGGGCATTTCTCCAGAAAGCCAAAATGTATTGACGTTCCCCATCTATATAAGCTGATGGTTTGCAATTTACTGCTGACCTAATCCTGCTGTACTCCATGGATCCATCTTTATTTGGATCAGAGACACCCGTTTGAAAGAGTGGGTGATGTGGGCCCAGTGAAATATGTCCTAGTGCTGGCAACAGCATTTCCTTCACCCCAAGGAAACGTGCATCTTGGCCAGTCCAGAAGCAGAAGGCAAGACATGTTCCAGTGACTTAGAGAAGGATGTTTATGGAAGCATTGTTCACAACTGCAAAGCGCTGGGAAATATAACTGTCCTTCAAAAAGAAAAGGAATAAATTAAATGTACTGTCTTTCCTATAATGGAGCGTCCAGATGAAAGAAAGAAACCTAGCTCTCTTTGTTTATTAGCACAGGTAGGACTCACAAACACAATGCTGATTGACAAAAGCAAGTTTCAGAGTGATTTGCACAGTATGAGTAAAGCACACACAAAGCAATTCTATGTAGGGTGCATATATAAATAGGTGTAAAATAATTTTTAAAGAGGCAGGAAGGATACATACAAAATTTATGATGATAGCTTGCCTTGAAAAGGAAAAGAGGGTAGTGGAATGGGGCTGTTGTAAATGGAACTGTCTTATTAAGAATTATTTTATTAATGTTAAAAAAATGAAACTTAAAGCAAGTATGTAAAAATACTAAGTTATTGCCAATTCAGGGTTGTGAATACATGGATGTGTTTTCTAGTTCATTTTCTATACCTCCATAGGCGTGTTTCATTGTTCAAAATTAAAAGTATACAGGAGTTCAAGTGAGAGTAGTCAAGTGAGCTGACGAAAATGTAACTGATGTAACTGGATTTTGTTTCATTTTTATGCTTTCCTAGGAATTAAAGATGAAATTAAATATACTAGCCTTTCTTTTAGATTCGTATTTTGTTTTACTAATAAACTACACACATTTTATTCAATGTAATTTACAGACATACTATTTATTCAGTGGATAGCTTCATTATATTACCCTTCATAATGAAAATTCAGTGCAAAATTAGAGCTCTAGTGGTTATAACTACGTTTCACTAAATTCCTTTTGTAAGCGATTGTCTTGCCTATTAACAGGCTTTCAAATCTCAGGGCGTATGATAATTGTAACTCTTAAGAGTTTGTGTGCACATTACTTATCCACTCAGTCTCAACTGTGGCCCCTCAGTTTGGTTGATAGTTGCTGAAAACACAATGTAATGGTATAGTTATAGTTGAAGTAGGAAGAGGGTATCCTGCAGAGCTGTCAAATACAGACTTAGGAGAAGCCAAATCACAGGCGTTATTGTTTTGTCAAACGTGGGAAAATTAGCAGATGAGAGCACATTCTCCAGCCCCCCGCTGGTATGCAGCATCCTGTCTCCAGCAAGCATTTCAAAGTATCCACCTGTGGTTTCCAGTAGCATCTTTGACCTTTAGTTAAAGATCCAACTTTACTACGCAATTGATTTTTGTTGGTCTCTGGGGTGGTCATGGAGTTGGATTTCACTGTAGTTAATATTATCCTCTCTATAGGACTTAACGCCAAGCGAGAATGTATTGTTAATGGCCTTGACTTGAGTGACATATTCGAGATGGTGAAAACTGTGATGTCTTCTCTAATGACTCAATTTTGGAAAGAGGAATGGAATAGGTCTAACACAGAGACGCAAGGGAATTTCAGAGTTGATGCTTGTTTGGTCCCTTCCCATGTAGCACAGGTATACAAAACAAGGTTCTAAAGTCAAACAAGGCTCCACTCAGAACCCAACATCACCACATACCAGACACATAATGATGGGAACAGGTCTCTGTCTGTCTTGATGAGTTACCTCATCAGCCAAAGAGGCAATGCTACAGAGCTGCTTTCTAGCTTTGCTGTGAGAAAGACGTGAAGTAGCATGGGATAAGCAATGAGCACAAGATTTATTTGACCTGTCAGAGGTTCTTGGAAATATTCTTTTTGCTGTCTTCTTTCTTGGTTTGATAAAAACTACAAATCACAATCCTTT